CTACATAACACTTAATGTGGCAAAAGGCTTGCATGTCTTCTAATTAATTGATGTTTTAAACTGCACGGTAAGGGACCGAAAATCTAAATAAACTACTCAACTAGTGATACTTTGACTTTGAGACACAGAGACAGTAAATGTTTGCTGTTGCACAACTTAATGGGACTGTGGACAACCTTCTACAGTAAACTGAAATACATTATTATTTTCATTTAGTCTAACACTGCAATCATTTCTGATGATAAATGATGAAGACATTTTGCAATTATGTTTTCCTCTAAACATCATGGTGTGAATATTTTTTTGTTTTGGTGAAATGTAGCACAGTGCAATTAGCCATTTACAGTATGTGCTTGAGTACAATTATGAGGCACTTTTCCTTCATTCAAGTGTTTCAATTTGGTAGAAATGTGCTTTTTACTCAACAGCCAGAGTCCCAAGTTCACACAGCTAATCACTGGGCTACAAACATCGCATATGTAATCTGAAGACCAAACCCTTTGTTATGTACGCAGGGCCAACAACATTAGCCGCTGTGCCACTGTAAATTACAAGGCAATATGTGCTAAATGTATCCACAGCTTTTGACTTTGTCTTTGCATGTGCTGATCCACTTGAATTCCTGTTACACAAAGTCTGGACCCTACATTCGGCGTTGACATGGTTTCACAGTAATCTTAATCATGATTGTGAAACTGATGTGTTGCAAAGTCTGTAGCTAATCTCACTCGAGCTCTTACTTTATTGGCTATACTTGCATATTTGTTGTAAAACATTCCAGATAATGTTTCATAAGGATAAAATAAATGTATTCTGGTGTACAGTAAATGGCCATAATAACTCTGTATCAGTCCATGCTGCCTAATTGAGACTAATGAGGAATCCAGAGATAAGTTCCCTAATAGGATCTTCCACCACGTGATACAGTGAATTAGTTAGCACACAAGAAGGTGTTGGAATTGTGTGAATACAAAGATTGATTTGGTAAGACGGTAAGTAAGATTTGTACTGTTGTACAACTGCTGCTTCCTTTTATTGAATGCTCAGTTAAGAACATAAACCATTTGTACTATTTTTAGTGGTTTTCTCAGGAACTTTGAAAAGGGCAACGTGTAAGATATACGGCCAGAATTATAGTTTAAAACATTCAAAAAATGAACAAACTTCATCAACAGAATGTGAAAAGGTTACAGGTGTTAACGTTGTGTCAAAGACGATAGAGATATTTTCTGAAATGAGAATGCTCAATGCCCCGTCCATCAACCCCTCCCACCCAGCATGAGCAGGTTTTCTCTCTCTGGGCACTGACCAGGCGGCGGTATTTAGCAAGTTGGGAGTGAGACACAGGTTGGTCCAACATGAGAAGACGAAAGGTAGGGCTTGTCAATCACGTTAAAAAGGTACAGGGTCTGTGTGCATTTCGATGGTTTGCTCATGAGATTAAATCCTAAACGACAGAAACGAAAGAATGACTTGCCCTTGCCGAATCAGCAAACCGGTACTGGGGTTTGTGCCGGCTGAATTTGGGTCCATCTCCCAGAGACGGCACTTCTCCTGGCAGGTAGGTCTCCTGGCTCTCCCCATAACTGATATCTATAAATCTAAACAATATGGACCCAGTAGTAGAGGTGACACGTTGCTCCGTATTTCTTTAAAGCAGGAGGCGTGATCTTACATAGTTCTCCTTTAAAACCTGCTTGAGTCACACAGGTAGCCTCAGTGGACTGTAGTGCCTCACCCCTGTATGATGAAAGCATGAATCATGTTGCCAACCCTTCCCTCCTTGGCTGCCTGAGGACAATCTTTATCTCACACACCCAAAAGAGGAGAAAAAAAATCATTACATAACGTTGAAGCTGGAGCTAGAGATCTAACAGAGGGGGGAGGGGGGGGGGGGTGATCCTCAATATTTAACACCTCTCATCCTACATTCACTTTTGACTCAGACAGAGAGGACTAACCTTCTGATCTCCCCCATCAAAGCTCACTCCGACAGTCACCTCACATCTCCGTCCATCTCCGAGTCTAATCGGCACTGATTGCCTTATGAAAACCCTAATCATTGAAAATTGCATTTAATGTGATACCAGTATGTGTGGGTTCTGAATTACTTTAAACTGACGAGCGAGTGCAGAAGGGTTTTTCTGTGCCTACTTGATTTGAAGTAGCTGGGCGCAGTCACTATAGATGTGGTTTTGAAAGCTAATGAGACAGAGCAGACTCCTCGCCTCCATGGGGAAGGGGGCTGCCAAATCCCTGATGCAAAAGTATATGTAGTGTGTGTGTATATATATATATATATATATATATTAATATTACTTTGACCGGGACTCTACAGTGTGCTTGGGTGGGTTTTATTCACCGTCTTTGGCATCATATGTAATCCTATACATATTTATACTCTGTCGATGTCAAGTGACCTTTTCCTTTTTAATTTTCATCCATTATTCCTATAATATTGCTATAAAATAGCCACTTATAATGCGTCCTTGCACTCAACCGTGAACTTATGTCCTTGTCTTACTTGATGGTATTTGAATGTTTTATGGTAGAATATAATATATTTCAGCTATTCATATGAAGGCAAATCACTGTCAAAATCCGAGAGCGCAAATGAGATCCATGCGCGCGCGAAAATCAAACAGCCGCGCTTTGACGAGCGCTTTTACATCACTCCGCGAGCAGAATTCACTCTCGCGCGAGCAAAAGTCGCTCGCGAAACTTCAACCCGCTCGCTCGCGAGTCTTTTACCTGCTCGCTCGGGAGTAGTTTTTGTTTTTGACAGTAAGTGGGCGGACCCAGTCGCCATTGTAACTCTACATCTAATTGGTTACAATCCTCATCTTTGGATAAACAGGATATCACTCTGACGCAGACGCTAGGGGGAGATTTTCAGATTGCACTACAGGTCAGGGGCAAATAATGTACATTTTACTGCATGGGTACTTTTACTTTCTGCACTTAAAGTAGATTTTGCTGATAATATTGACTAAGGTTTTGAATGCAGATATTTTACTCGTAGTGGATTATTGTTTCATCAGTATGGTATTAGTACGTTTACTGCAGTGAAGGATCTGAATACTTTTTCCTCCACTAATTACTTGTCAGTGATTTAACAGTTAATATACAAACAGTGGTCCCTAATCTTGGCTCCAGATGTTTGAGCAGGTCCAAATTGTTGCTCATATTTTATACAACTATATTATATCTCTTCTGTAAACACAACAGTATGATTAAATATGATCACATCATGTTTTTATCAATTAAGATCAAAGAGTTTCTTTGAGCTGTTTGTCACAAGAGGTTTGAGTATCAAACACACATTGTCTGTGATGGAGGGAATTTAAACCAATCTGAGCAACTTGACTTTAACACAGTTTTAATTATTGTATTTAACAACTCTATTAACATCATTTGTATTTCATCAGCCTCTACAGTCTACAAAACCTGTCAGACAAATGTAGAACATCCTGAGATGTAGTGGAGTAGTGTTTAGTGGCGATTGAAAACCACCTCTATCAGACCTAGCGTCTGCGTCAGAGTGATATCCGGTTTATCACGAGGATTGTAACCAATTAGATGTAGAGATACAATAGCGACTGGGTCCGCCCACTTACTGTCAAAAAGAAAAACTACTCGCGAGCGAGCAGGTAAAAGACTCGCGAGCGAGCGGGTTGAAGTTTCGCGAGCGACTTTTGCTCGCGCGAGAGTGAATTCTGCTCGCGGAGTGACGTAAAAGCGCTCGTCAAAGTAAAATACGCGCGCGGCTGTTTGATTTTCACGCGCACATGGATCTCATTTACGCTCTCGGATTTTGACAGTGATTTGCCTTCATATATTCAACAGTGGGTTTCCTTAATCATGCATATGTTTAGGCACCCTAGAGGCATGGCTCTATGGATGGCAAAGTCGGTCGGACAGTTGGCCCACCACTTTGGTCCAGACTGAAATATCTCAACAACTATTGGATGGATTACCATGAACCTTTTTACAGACATGCATGTTCCCCAGAGGATGAAGCCTAATAACTTTGATGATCCCCTGACTTTTGATCAAGCGCCATGCACCATCAGGTCAATTTGGAAATACCTTTGTTGTAAGCAGATATAAGGGCATTATTAACTGTTTATTGATGTACAGTATTTGTCAACAGTTATTACTTCTCCTATGAGGACATCATTTATATCCCTTTATACACCAACCTTTACTTATACATGTCCAAAGTAGTTATAGTTATTAAAGGTATTTTCTCCTATGACATCACTAATTCCTCCAATACTGTGATACATTTCCAAATTAATTATGACATAGTTGTTTTTTTCTTATGCGAGCAATCCCTGTTATTGACGATAACTTACCACTGAATATTATGTGGGAAACTGTTGCTCTGTTAAAAACAATAGACAAACTGACGGGGCAGGAGGAGCCCGGAACAGATGGTTGTTCCTTCTACATAAGCAAATTGCCCATAAATTCAATTCAGTTCCCTGGTGTGTGTGTGTGTGTGTGTGTTTGGGGGGGGGGGGGGGGGGGGGGGGGG